TTATAAGATCTGTTTGAAGATTGTTGTATTTGCGACGTATCTGTCGTGTTACTCTTTTTATTTGATTGGATAAAATTAATCTATTTGTTCCTGGATTATCCAAATAACTATCAATAGTATCGGCTAACTCAGCTATTGTTGTCATATCTGTGTCAGATGTATAACTATCCTGAGATTTTTCATCTGATTCATATTCATTTGGTGTATCCCATATCTGAGCATTTTGTAATGTTTTTTGAGTATTTATAAGTTCTACTCTATCTCGGTATCTTAATAATGCTAATGCGAAATTTTGACAATGCAAATCAGTAATTTGATTTTTTTGCTGAGTTATCTTATTATTTCAGTCAATAAGATTATACTTTAACGTTTCGATCTCATATTTGAGTCGCTCGTTTTCATCTATTAACTTTGCTGTTTGGGTATATGCTTTAGGTGTATTTCCAGCAGATTTGGATATTTCTCGAATTCGGGTTTTAAGTTTCTTTTCTCTTACGTCAAATTCTGCTAGTTGAGTTTCTCTATTAAGAAGTTCTTTGTCTTTTTGCTCGATCTCTTTTTTGAGCTCATAGACAATCTTTTTTAAATCCGATATCTCTTTTTCTAATTCCTCCCTTTCTTGTATTGAAAGTTCGATTGTATTTGCTAACTCATCCTCGAGATAACGGATTCTTTTCTCACGTAAAATTATATCCTGTTCAAGATTGTATGTTCGGCGTTCATAGTCTCTGTTTGATTGGGCTAGTTGCTCAAGTTCTTTACGTAATTCATCCATGTAAAAGATTTTTTAGTTGATTATTTATACTCGAAAGTAATGGAACAACCTGTAATTTATATTGATCCACAGAGGGCCCGCGATTTGGATAGGGAAATTATTCTACAAAAATTATATTATCGACCTGAAGGCTATTACCGAACTGTGGAAAAAATGCGAGATGCTTGTAAAAAGGCTGGTTATAATTTTTCATTAAACAATATAAAAGAATGGCTTGAAAAACAGATATTGTATTTG